GGGGGGGGGGGGGAGTATGGGAAGCTTTAGGATGCAGAGTCTTGGGTTGGCAAAAGTTGGGAATGTGTGTAGGTGGTGAGTTTCTTTGCAAGGCAACATCTTCCAATGAGCTTACACCCATTTTAGAACCACAACAATGTATTTATTCTATATTATTTTTTAGCAAGGGTATATTATATTTTAAGTAGCCACAAATTGAACTTATTCCATTTTTATTTGCTCTAATACTATATATAACACATTTTATATCTATATTAATTACTTGATAAGATAGCTTTTAGTGGCTATTTTATCCTTATTTATCATCTAGAATTCAAAAATCAATGATGACAATATATTAATCACATACACTAGACATTACTATAAATAGTTTTATAAAAATCAGAAATCTGGCCAAAGTTGCCACTTGGCTTTAGGCTTGATTGGCTTGATAGGTAATATTTAATCATCAATCTAAATTTCGAAATGGTTACTTGGAGAGGAATATGGTTTGGATTAGAAATATAAATTAGATTGAGTAAGGGTCACTATGTGTATAATGTCCTCTCATGGAATGCCATTGTCATAATTTAGCTCAAGAATAAAATGTAAAGGATTTGTGGGGTTTGATCAAGTTGAGAGTGATTTATAAAATAAATAAAAGAGGAACTTTAACTAAAGCATGAATATGACAAGCAATGTATAAGTTTTGGGAATGTGTGAACTTTTAAATTTGAGTTTCCCAATAGGTCATCTAATTCAATATTACTCAAACCTAAGGACATTTAATGCCAAAATTTTAGCAACACCTTTTTATTATTATAGATTTTTCTCAATAACTAATTAATCTTCATAATTTTAATCTTATATAGCATTTTAAATTGTTGTATACAAGATTGGATATTTTTAACCATGTAACCCTGGAAAAGAAGGTACACTTTTATTCATGGGCCTTTTCCCTTTATATTTAATCCTTAATGAATTGTCTCTCAAATTGTTCTTTTTGACTATTTATACAATATAGCATCCATAAAGCCATGAATACTGGAAGATAATAAAATATTTATTTCCCATTTTCCTATTAGATGCTTAGAAAAAAGATGTGAATCTCAATCAAATAAGTATTAAAATCACACTAACTTGTCTTATTTCTTTTTGATATTAACTATTTACAGAAATCCTCTTAATGATTTCAGTCTATATAAAGGACCATGAGCTAATCCTAGAAGAAGAATAAGTCCACATATATAGCTCATTTTTGCAATATCTTCTTTAGTACCTTAATATTCTTTTTCATATTTAAAAAATATTAATATAAGGTAATAAAATTATAATAGATAATTTCCTTCTAGAGGATCTTTGAAAAGTATAAGAAAAGTTAAAAACTTTCAATTCTCTCTAGAATAGGTTAACACAAATGCAAGTTATGGTCTTATATCTTAAACTTTCACACAAAGAAAGTGATGTCATAGATACTTCTTATATATATAATTATAAGCCACAAGAAAGTAAAGTTAATAAGGAACCTTTGGACAGATCAACTTCAAAATTTAATTGTGTCAATAAAAAAATATTTTTAATAATGTAAGAATTTTAAAACATAATAGAATATGGACAACAAGCTATATTCCTTGAAAACTTTTAGAACATTCATTAGTACTTCTTTCATAAAGATTGTTAAAACAATTAATCTTTGTTTACAATCATGTTGGAAAGCTTCTTAAAGGAGCAATCAAATGCTACCACCAATAATTCTTGTCAGACTTATCAAACCTTGTGAGTTTTAGAAGGAGATAAAAGTGGTATTAATGGTTGTGTGGTAGTTAACATTCAAAATTCATTGACTTCTAATACTATTTGATTCAATAACACAAGAGTTTATTAAGTCCAAGATTAAACAAAAGTAGTGGAGGCAATTCAACTTAATCTTCAACGTGAATAACTCTCTTGTGTGTTTAATTGCAATTACAATTGATACATTTTATCTATAAAATAAAGAAGTCAACCCTTTAACCTTTGCTCAACAAGTAAGTAACAAGAACTTTTAATGTTACAACTCTTAAATTGTTCATAACAACACACCATGCCAAAACAAAAGCCCAAAACTCTGGATTAATAAAGTAATAGGCTCTAACTCTTCCCATTCTTCCAGATACTCACTTGCAAAATAGCTTCAAACACACTTTCAAAGCCAGAAAGTGTAAAGCTGACATAAGATACAATCACCACACACTTTCCAACCTTGCTGTTTAGCTAGCTTTCCAAATTAGAGAAGCAAGGGAAAACATTCAAGAAAATAATATAAAAAATTAGAATTTTTTTTATATAAAGCATACGTACTTCTTTGATGGCCTTCCAAAAGTATTACATTGACTAATAATCATTATTATAACATTGTTATAATTATTGATTGTGTAAAATCCCGAGGACTCATTACCTTATATAATATTAGTAGAGTGATCAACTAAAGGAGGAACTTGGCTATGGTGACATTGGTTTTGCTCCCCTTCCTCTTGATTCTATTCCACATCAATGCTAGCACTCTTTTAACTGTTAGAATTAAATATAGTTTATATAAATATATGCAAGAATATTAATATTAAATTTGATGACAAATGAATTAGAGAAATTTTAATACCATTAGATTGAGGAATATTCCACCTAGATATTCAAGGTATACACCTTTCAGGTTTTACTAATAATTTGTTGTGTTTTGCATACTCCAATGCTTGGTTTACTTAATAGTAGTGATAATTATTTATTAATCCAATTGATCAATTGGAAATTTATAATAAAAATGTTTATAATTTATAAACAAGCTTACATTAGATAGTAAAATCAACTAAAATACACTAAGTGTTTGGGAAAGTTTATAATTTATATATACAAGACTAATATAAATGAATAATAACCATTAGATGGTAGAATATCCTAGAATATCCAAGTATATTTTAGACCAATTGCTTAAGTAAACAGAAAATATTAATATTAAATATATTAACCATTAGATTAAAGAATATCCTAGAATATGCCTAAATATTTTAAATATATTCTCTAGTTTCTTGGTCTATAATTGGCTTATATAAGTAGTTTTAGATTTACACCTGATTCCTTGATCTTGTAACTAAATCTTCTAGATCACCTTCAAAATCTCGTGAAATCCAGAACACTCTTAGTGTGGAAGCAAAGCAAAGGCGGAGCTAGAGACACGCCAATGCAGCGCTCCATAAGGCTCACACGACCCAGGCATTAAGTCACGTTCTCTGTGATGTACAAAAATTGTCCAGGAAGTTCCCACTCAACTCAGGCTTTCAATCTTTATCAAAACGGAAATCTCGGTACAAGCTTTGATTAAACCCCTATAAACACCATGCCGCTTGCTGATCAATACCAAAACACCCACAAGATAGCGGGCGTTAGAATCGTGGTTGGCTGCACAGCAGGCATGGACAAACCGTAGAAGTTGATATGCATGACGCCAGAAATGGTGTCATTCTCCAGGTTCTGGGCCCTTTATGGATGTTTGGCGCCACGCGTGACATCTTATTCGACCACAAAACTAGGCCATTTTCGCTCTTTGCTGTCGCGCATTTCCTCCCGCTTCCCTCTCTTCGATCGACCACCATGGCGATGGAGAATGGTGCCGCTCAAACGCCAACAGCAGACTTAAAAGCTCTGCCAGGAACAAAGAGGGACGAGCAATGGCAAGGGACCAGTCCTGAGCACGGGAATGCGAAGGCCACCGGCGATTTCCCCGCGGAAGAAGTCATGGTGGATCAAAAGCCGATCGCGAGCGACATGGTGCCAGCTGATCGTCGCCATGGAAACAAAGGCGGGTGGAGAACAGCGCCATACATCTTCAGTAACTATCTTTGTTTTCTCGAGCCCCCCTTTTGTGAATTTCTCGATCCGCACAGGTTGTGGAGCCATGGATTTCCTGGCGTCGCTGGGGATCATGCTCAACATGATGGCTTACCTCCAGCACCGGCTCAAGCTCGACTTGGTGGACGCCGCAAACACCATCACAAACTTCATGGGGATGTGCTCCTACACGCCACTGCTGGGTGCCTTCGTGGCGGACGCCATGATCGGGCGATACGCAACAATCTTGATCGCCTCCACCATCTATGTCGCGGTAAACTCCCTCCTCTTTTTAAACAAAAAAGAAAAAGGATGGTCAAACTTTGATTGTTCTTGGTGTTTCTTACTTCACACCGTTTTGATGCGTGGTTTTCATGATCTTATATACAAGGCCCTGTTCGTGATGGTGATCGAGGCCAAGCTCCCGTCCACCAAGCCTCCGCATTGCAAGAAGCACGACTGCCTCGGCTACCTCTACGCCGCCTTCGTGCTCATCGCCATCGCCGCCGGGGGCGTGAGGCCAAATGCGCCATCTTTCGGGGCGGACCAGTTCGACCAGCATAACCCCGTGGAGCGCAAGCAGCTCTTTAGCTACTTCAACTGGTACTACTTCTTCGTGGTGGCGGCCATGGTCACCAGCACCACCCTGCTCGTCTACATCCAAAACACGTTTGGCTGGGTGTGGGGGTTTGGCATCCCCGCGGTGGGGATGGTGGTGGCGGTGGCGCTCTTCTGGGCCGGCTCCCCGCTCTACAGGAAGATCTCTCCCGCCGGCAGCCCCTTCACCCACCTCGCGCAGGTCGTCGTCGCTGTCTGTCGCAAGTGGCGCGTTGATATTCCCAACGATCCCAGGGAGCTCTTCAACAATGAGGTGCCCAAAACTGGCGCTGGCGGTATCACTCTTCGTCACACAATGCAATACCGGTACGTGAAGTTGACACGAAGAATCATAGTCCCGAGTGATTGATCGAAACTCTGATCGCAGGTTTCTGGACCGAGCAGCCACAATCGTCGACGGAGAGCACCACGGCTCCGAAAAGATCGATCCGTGGAGGCTATGCCCGGTGAGCCATGTAGAGGAGCTCAAATCGCTGCTGCGAATGACGCCCGTGTGGGCGACGGGCATCCCGATCTTCGTGGCATGGTCGCAGCAGAGCACGTTTTGGATCGGGCAGGGCTACGTCATGGATCTCCGCATGGGATCCTCCCCGCACGCTTTCAAGATGCAGCCCGCGACGCTCCCGGTCTTCTCCCTCCTCACCATGATGATCTTCCTCCCCTTCTACGACAAGCTCGTTGTCCCGCTGGCCGCCAAGGTCACGAGGAACCCGCGCGGCATCACCTTCCTCCAGAGGATCGGCGTGGGGATCACCTTCGCCGCCTCGGCGATGCTGGTGGCGGGCGCGGTGGAGGTGAAGCGGCGGCGCCTCGGATTCGCCCACCCCCTCTCGTGCTTCTGGCTGATCCCCCAGTTCTGCCTGCTGGGCCTCTCCGAGGCCTTCGTCACCATCGGCTACCTCGAGTTCTTCTACGATCAATCGCCGCCCAGCATGAGGAGCATGGCGGCGGCGGTGGTGTGGGCGATCATCGGCACTGGCAACTACGTCAGCACCGCCATCGTGGCGCTCATCAAGCGGTCAACGAGGACTCCGACCAACGACCAGGGCTGGCTCTCGTTGACCGGGAACCTCGAGTACTTCTACTGGGTGCTGGCGGGCTGCCTGGCCGTCGATTTCGTGGCTCACCTTCTTGTCTCTACGTTCTACACGTACACAAAGCCGGACTACGCCGATGACGACGATCAAGTTCCCATTGCGATGATTTAGATAGAGAGAAATATATCATACAGTCGTGTGATTACATTGATCTTTAATAGATGACTATACATTTCAAGTTTGCTCCACCTTTTTCAAAACCTTCCCATTTTCCTCGGGCACGTCGTTCCAGCGCTTGTACCTATACCACCTTGCCACCACCAAGTAGACGCCGAGATTGACGGTCAGGATCCCCGCCAGCATCCAGTAGAACAAATCCAGCCGTCCGCGGTTGATGTTATCGGGCACCCAGTTGGTCCTGGCGTGCACGGCGCTCACCATCGCGGTGCTACAATAGTTACCACCGCCAATCACCATCCAAAACACCGCCGTGGCCATGCTTCGCATGCTCTCGGGCGACTGATCGTAGAAGAACTCGATCTGGCCGATGGAGAGGAAGAGCTCCGTCACCCCAATGAGCACGTACTGCGGGAGCAGCCAGAAGATCGAGATGGGGATGGTCCGGTCGGGGGAGTCGAGCAGCCCCGCGGCGGCGGCGGCGCTGCGCCGCTTCACCTCGGTGGCGGCGGCGGCCACCATGACGAGGATGGAGACGACGAGGCCGATGGCCATCCTCTGGAGGGAGGTGAGGCCGCGGGGGTGGCCCGTGATCCGGCGCAGTACTGGGATCCCCAGCTTGTCGTAGACCGGGATGAGGACGAGCAGCGCGAGAGTGGTGAATGCCGTCATCGATCCGGGCGGGATCTCGAAGGAGCTGGAGGCGACGAGGCGGCGGTCCATTGTCCGGCCCTGCTGGACCCAGAAGGTGCCCTGCTGCGCCCACGCCGTGAAGACGAGCACGCCCGTGCATAGGATGGGTAGCAGCCGGAGCAGCAGCTTGAGCTCCTCCACGCTGTGGACGCTGCTCACCTTCCAGGGGTCCACATCGCCGCCGCTGCGCCGCTGGTCATCGTCTGTTACGATCGCAGCTTGTCC